TTTGAAGTCCTGTGTGTGTGGGGCTGAGAATTGACTACTGATTGTTCTGGTTTTGTCTGTGAAGAATATGGCAAAATCATCAGCTGTTATAGAAGTGGTGGGAAGTGGTGGAGGGGGACAGAGGAGAGAATTGAAAGTGTGTCTGGAGCGCTGTTGATCTTGTTGTGGAAGTATGAAGATTTGGCAGTATGGACTTCAGCAGAGAAAGATGAAAGCAAAGACTGATACATACTCAGGTCTGACGGATCTTTTGATTTGCACCATTTTCTCTCAGCTGCCCTGAGTTTGGTCCGATGTTCACGAAGAACATCGGATAACCAGGAGTTCGAGGGGGCAGCCCGTGCTGGCCTGGAGGAGAGAGGACAAATATCATCTAGACAAGAGGTTAAAGTAGAGCATAAAGTGTCAGTTGCTGCATTCACATCCAGAGATGAGAAATGGGTAGGTGAGGGAAGAGAGGAGGATACAACGGAGGAAAGATGGGAGGGGGAAAGGGCACGAAGAACATAACCAGGGGGTTATCCGATGTTAAATTTATCGTGACAAAACGTGGTTTGTAGAGTCGTTGGGCGACAGTTGTTTTCAGCTTGTGTAGTGTGTAACCCCCGGTTGTGGATCATTTACATAGAGTCACGAAGTGTGAACATCACAACGACTTCAAGACAGACAATCAAGTCATGTAGTCTGAACAGCACAGCGATCTGCCGACGTTTAAAGTCGTGTAGTGTGAACTTAGCCTTAAGCACTGTTTAATTTGTATCTTTGTTCTGTTTATTTATTTGTGCTTTTGCTTGTAATTTTTTCATTCGTTCTTTTTTACCAACTGTTCACTTGTCTTTAATGTTTGAGCTTTATGTTAGTCAAGTAGTTTTTGCTGTGGCATTGAAATTGGAATCGAGAATTGTACAATTTTACTGGTATTTAATATTTTGGTATCATATAAGCTTATTTATAAGAATTCAAGATAACAAGGGTCAAAAACAACTATAACAAGAACTATTTTATATTTTGTGAATAAAAAAATAAAAAAACTTTAGCGTTGAGCCCTAGTATATATATATATATATATATAATTTTGACCATTTAGATAAAATATATAATATACATTTAGATAATATTATTAAGATTGTATTTTACCTACTCATATTATTGAGAATAAAATAAAAAATATTGTAAAAAGTAAAGCAATTAGTAAAAAATTGACAAAATATTTAGTTTAAATTTTATATTTACAACTAGTGTGTATGTTTATACATATAAAAACGCTGAATCTTGTGTTGTAATGACTGACTTTCTTGTTTAGATGTTTCTTCTTGGATGTGCTCTGTGGAATCCCTCTCTAGCACCTCTTGCTGGTGGACTAAATGTAACAATCCCTGCAGCTGCTCACTCATTACATCCATGAGAGCCTGGGACACTTCCAATGGCAAGGCATCTTCACAGGAACTGGAGAAACACATACAAACAACACACAGTTTTATTTAACTACAGCTGTACAACCTTGATTGTCTGCAGCCAGGTACTGTTGCTCTTATTGGCAGAGGGGATGTTTGTTGATACCAAAACATCCATATGAAATGAAAAGTTTTGGAGTTTCTTTAATATGCAAAACTGTTTCATCAAATCAAAATTATGATGTAGCAAGAAGAATGCTTTGAACGTGATTATCTAAGGCATCAGTTTTCAAAATGTGAGGTTTTCAGAGCATATCATGGGAGGCGTTCTCTCGTTCGGTATTTAATTATCAAGTTTATAATCTCACCTGGCCGCTATGGCAAATATCTGCAGGAGTCTGGCAGCGGCCAGCTTCACCGCCCCACCGAGCTGCATGTGACCGGACATGGAGGCGGCCAGCCAGCGCTGGTTCACCAGCACACAGGATAAAAACGCTGAATCTTGTGTTGTAATGACTGACTTTCTTGTTTAGATGTTTCTTCTTGGATGTGCTCTGTGGAATCCCTCTCTAGCACCTCTTGCTGGTGGACTAAATGTAACAATCCCTGCAGCTGCTCACTCATTACATCCATGAGAGCCTGGGACACTTCCAATGGCAAGGCATCTTCACAGGAACTGGAGAAACACATACAAACAACACACAGTTTTATTTAACTGCAGCTGTACAACCTTGATTGTCTGCAGCCAGGTACTGTTGCTCTTATTGGCAGAGGGGATGTTTGTTGATACCAAAACATCCATATGAAATGAAAAGTTTTGGAGTTTCTTTAATATGCAAAACTGTTACATCAAATCAAAATTATGATGTAGCAAGAAGAATGCTTTGAACGTGATTATCTAAGGCATCAGTTTTCAAAATGTGAGGTTTTCAGAGCATATCATGGGAGGCGTTCTCTCGTTCGGTATTTAATTATCAAGTTTATAATCTCACCTGGCCGCTATGGCAAATATCTGCAGGAGTCTGGCAGCGGCCAGCTTCACCGCCCCACCGAGCTGCATGTGACCGGACATGGAGGCGGCCAGCCAGCGCTGGTTCACCAGCACACAGGCGTTATCAGTCAGTGTGGACAAGATCTCCAGGATGCCACATTTAATAATCACCACGAGATCCACCGGCTGATAGTGGAAGTTCAGAGTGAAGACTGTAGCTAACAGCAGGTGCTGATAAGAGCCTGAAATGAGACAAATCTATGTTAATCCACTCCTTAATTAAACTGGCATATTATTAGAGTACTTGGACTCTGCCAAGCTATAAAATACAGTCAAACTAAATTTGAACCACAAAGCAATATCACAAATGAATGTCTATTTGAATCAGTGGGTAATAGTAACGCTACAAAAAATCTGTTTAAAATTGTAAAAATAAATAAATAAAATACACATCCCTATTATTACCATTTCCCCTTGTTTATCCAACTAAGATATGAAAAGTGCATGTGCATAGTAGAGTAGGTACCGTATAAATTGTTTATTATTTTTAGTAACATTAAGATGCATTGTAAAGTACAAAATGTTTTTTTTTTACCTGGTTTATATTATCTACTCATTATTAATAAAAATAAAATAATAATAAATAAAAATAAAGTAAAATTAAATTAGTAAAATATTTAGTTTAAATGTAAATGTAAATGTAAGTACCATTTACATCATTTTTATTACGCATTTACATGATTAATATGAAAAGTAATTAAAAAAATAAGTATATAAACCTAAAAATTACCCCAAAAAAACATCTATTAAAAAAAATAAAAAGAAGTTTAATTGGTTTATACATTTTTTTTTTTGCATTTAGACAAATGCTATATGCAGTAGTAAGAAGCGTTACCCACCAGCCTGTTCTCTCTCTAATGCCACCTTCTGTCTAAGCACACGCACCAGTTGCTGGTACAGTGTGTGAGCCGCAGACTGTAACTCCCTCTGAACACTGATAGGAGCCGACTGAGTCCCAGCCTAGACACAAATTCAACATTTCAAGCATACTTCAAAAGAATATAGGCTTAACCTATAAGGGTGATGTTCAAGTCAAGATACAAAAAATAAAATTTCTTAGCATAACACAAGAACACCAAAAAAAAAATTCATGCATATGTTGGAAAAATCTGTGGTTTGTTTTTGAGGAAATGTAATTTTCAGCGTGTCTTACGGTGTAATGGTGAATCTTGTTGTTAGGTGCTGCTAGACTGCCGGTGATCGGGGCACCCAGACCAAAGCAGCCAGAGAGGAACTGCAGCTGCACTGACTGCAGGAGGCCTGGAAAACGAGGAGGCACCAGAGAGCTGACGTTCTTTTCCTCCATCTCTGACAGAAAGGAGGAAATCTGACACAAGGCCTCCAAACGCACCTGGATGAAGGGGATGAAAACAATTGTAATGTCTCTACATCTTTATTAGTACTATGTGAAAACATTACACATTTAATATAGCCTGCTTATTTATTAGTTGTTTAGTTATTGAAACTAAAATGGATCTGCAATGGATTTCCCACCTGAGCTCTTTGGTGTTACTGTGCCATGGCTACGGTGATGGCTTTGGGATCCACATGTGCAACTCCATCTTTGTCCATCAGAGAAGAGGTTCGGTGGAGGCTCCCACAAAGGAAATGGAAGACCTGGCCCAGGACGGGTGTGCCACCTCCACCTGGGCACAGTACGGTAGTGGGACTGATGCACTGCCGCAGACGCTCCCAGGCATCTTTCATGATGCCCAAAGAACAGAGAGGAAGGCCTAGCAAGAAACAAGACTGATTAGCACAGAGATGTGATTGTTAAGCTAACTAAAACTGATTATTCTAGTTTATGTAATAGAAGAGATAGAGAAAGACAATGCGAGATATCAGACATGCAAGATCAGATTAGATGTTTGGGATCAGACGTGTGATATATACGGTAAGACTTCAGAAATCAGATCAGACATGAGATATCACATGAGATTAGGCAAGCAAGATATCAAGCAGCTGTGAGATCAGACATGAGAGAGATCAGATATGTGAGATCAGACAGGTGAAAATCAGACGTGAGATATCAGAAATGAGAGATCGTACATCACATCAGATGTCAAAGATCAGACCTTTAAAAGATCAAAAATGTAACAAAGCTAATATGTGTGAGATCAGATATGCAAGATCAGATGTGAGAAATCATACATATGAGATTTGATACGTCAGAGATCAGTAAGGGTAGATGAGACATGTGAGAGGAAACACATGAGAAGTTAGAAACGGAAGATCAGACACTGGATATCAGACATGAAAAATCTGAACTGTGCTGAACCGTGAGATCAGACAAGTAAAAAAATATAAGACGTGAGATCAGATGCATATATTTTATGCGAGATCAGATATGTGAGAGATCAATTATGTTAGATGATACATGTGAGATGACACATTAGAAATCAGAAACGTGAGATCAGACATTTGATATCAGACATGAAATATCAGACAGGTTAAAGATGAAAGATGCAACGAATCCAGTATGCGTAAAATCTGGTATGTTAGATATCTGAGATCAGATGTGAGAAATCATACATGTGAGATCAGATATGTTAGATATATGCAAGATGAGACACATGAGAAATTAGAAACAAAAGATGAGTGAGATCAGACAGGTGACATCAGTCATGTTAGGGATGAAACATGCAATAGATCCAGTATGTGTGAGATCGGACACATGAGATCAGATACATAATAAAGTAATATGCTATTTCATATGCCCCTTACCAATTTTATTCTTGAATGTCCCTGAGGAGCTTTTAGACTCATCTGGTGTCTTTAACAGAAAGACAAAACAGATTACAAATGACAAAATCAAACAACAAGACCCAAACGAGAGATTAATTTAATTGATATTAAACTGGGGGGAAACATGAGAAACATAAATACCTCCCTCTCACTGAAACTTCTCTCAGAAGAGGACTGTATATCCATCTTTGTTCCTAAAGCCTCATTGTAGGGTGGAGATCTATGTAGTGAGAGATATTTATCACCTTCAGATTTTTTCACACTCGCACATGCAAATGTTTTGTAATTGCACGCAACACAAACCTGGCCAAGCTGCTCTCAGTAGGTGTCTGTGACAACACACTCTCCTCCTGCCAAGCAGCTCGGACCCCCAGCAACAGGAAGAGGCAGCGTGAAACCAGCAGGTGGCAGGCTGCTGGGAAGGGCAGGCCCTGGTCAGTGGTGCTGTGGTGGTCCCAGGGCCGCTGAGGGGGCTCCCTGTCTGGCGTCCCAGGGCTCTCAGTGCTGCTGGGCAATGTGCTGGTGCCAGACGACTCGTACACAGTCTCGTTCTGTTGGAGCTGCATGGCCTCACGGGTGGCCAGGAAACACTGCAGCACCTCTGCAAGGAGGAGGACATACACAAATAGTTCACAATTACACAACACCAAAGGGAGTGTCTTTTAAAGCCAATAATATCACATTAATCCCAAACATGATCCTGGTTATTACTGTTAATGAAAACTAAAACCATAAAAACAGTTTCATTACTTTAAATAAAATGTTAAAATAATAAATTTAAAAAAACTTAAAATTGAGAAATGTTGCCTTGGCAAAATAAGTTTAAGTACTAAAATAACTCAAATTAAATAAACTATAAAAACTAAAACTACTACATACTTTTAAAAAACAAAACAAAAGAAATTAAATTAAAACACAAAATATAAAATTAAAATCTAATTCAAAATATTAACAAAACCCATAATAATATATCAGTGATTTTAAAATATCACTGACCATGATCTATTGATAACATACAATCTTAAATGTTTATATATAAGAAAATAGGTGTCTCAAGATGTCTATTTAAAAGTTGAATTATTTAGAGCGGTGACAAAACAGCAAAGACATCAGCAAAAAACATCCTGTGTGACAATGTTTATACATATATTGTAATACAAGTGAAGAGTAAGTGAATGAATCAACTGAAGGATATATATGACTAAGTATTAAATCCCAAAACTGTGGCTGAAAAAAGGTGGGTTAAACACCACAACACTAAGACTGTTGAACAGACCTCATTCTGAGACAAAGAATCCTTTATACTTTGGTATATCGTTCAACAGAAGCACACACTCGCTCTGTGAGGGAAGAACACAGAAAGCAGCATGTTTACCCGGCAGGTACATACTGCTGATGCTGGGCGTCTCCTCCTCTAAGGGATCGTCCTGGTTGTGTTCAGCAGCATGTGGTGTCTGGCTGCTGGGATCTGTGTCTCTTCCGGTCTGCTCTCCTGAGCTGCCCACTTCCTGCCTCTCCTCACTGGGGCTCTGAGAGCCCAATGAAGCCTGGACAGGACGAAACATTATTTTACGAAAATGTTACTTTGTCCCTGGTTACAGTACATCAGCATAAAGAAATTGTTTCAGAAGTAGGGGAGGTTATTTTATTATATTATTATATTATGTTTTATTACACTTCATTTCGTCTTTAAGTGTAGCAAAAATTAGTGACTAACTTCCCAGGTTCATTAGCGCGTTTCTAAAGAAGTGCATTAGATACAGGCCATAATGGAGTAAATAAAGCAAGGAGTCTCTTATGCTCACCAAGGCTACATTTTTTTCAATCAAAAATACAGTAAAAACAGTAATATTGTGAAAGATTATTACTAGAGCCCGACCGATATATCGTTTTGCCAATATTATCGGCCGATTTGAGCCTGTCACCGATATATCATATCGGCGAATATGCCGCCGATATGAAAATTTCTTTTACAGAACATATAACACAGATAAAATGCTTGAAATGGTGTAATTACTTAGTTTGTCCAGCAGAGCGCAGGCCATTGTTTGCTACTGGCGACCTGGATGAAACGCTTTAAAGCTTATGTCTATGGAAAACCATTGAAACTTTGAACGGCCATATCTCCGTAACGGCGCGGCGAATCCGCACCAAATTCGGGGGATCCCTTCAGCTCGAGGAACCTTCTCGAACGCGAATCGAGTGTCCGTCTAGAGGCCCGCTTTCGAATGAGACCACCCCCACGTCGATAGCCCCCGGGTTTTTGGGAGTTACAGGTGGTTAAATTCGCGGTCCGGCACCGACCGATCAAGCGATCCCGGGGGGCTACCGCCGCACAGAGGGTGGCGTTTGAGAGGGCTCCTTTATTTTGTATTTATTTACAGAGGTATATTATGTCACACTTTTATTACCATTTAAAATAACTGCTATCTATTTAAATATATTTTAAAATGTAATTTATCCGTGATGACAAAGCTGACTTTTCAGCAGCTATTATTTCAGTCTTCAGTGTCATCCTTTAAATAGAGCATATATTTATTAGTTTATATGACTGTTGATGTGTTTTACCTGTTTGGTGGTAGTTGTTGTTTGGACGCTGGTTGTGTTTCCTATGCTCTCTTTATAGGACAGCAGAGTGCTGCGGATTTTATACACCACCTGATATATTTCAATCAGCACCTCACAGGGCTCATATCTGCAGTCAAACAAACACACACACACACACACACACACACACACACACACACACACACACAGACGTACGCACATTAATGGACTGTTTAAACTATTGGTTCATCCCAGCTGCTGCTGCAGAAGGTTGATCTGGATATTCATGACTGTCAATTCATATTCACTGAACTCTCACTCTCACACATGAGCCTTTATGGCTGAGGAATTTATCATGTGCGATTTCTCACAGCACAGAGAGAGACAGGCACTGACACTTTAATATACACATATAGAATCATTCTTTAAATAGAGCATATATTCATTAAATCTGGGTCAACTAATTAAAGAGTTCATTACACTATGACAGAAGGGAGACGTGGGAAGACAAAGGTGTTCAAGAGAGCTAGGTAAAAAGAGAGAATGCGGGTGAGGTGTGGATCTCACTCACTTATCCTGCCAGTAGGCTTCATTAAGGCCGGCATGTTTGAGTAGAGCGGCCAAACTACAGCGACACGCCATCTCTAACACAGAGTCTCCCACTGATCCACTATTGTCCCAGTCTGCATAAAAACACACAAGTGAAGGTCAATATTTAGACAGGTACATGATAACAGAGATTATGATGTTGCTTTCTGCAATACTTGATTGGTTTTCCATTTTCGTGGAGTAAGTAAATGTAAACTGTTTACACAGCTTTTTAAAAATGGCGGGTGCGGTGATTCATATGGCATGCATTCGGCCAATCAACACTGATATATGTCACTGGTAGTTCCTATTGTGCTAGGTTACATTCTACTCTGAAGTAGGAGCTAATTTAGTCCGCCCAAAAGGCTTACAATAACTGAAATCGTTCCCAGTTCCTGTGTATAGTTCCCAGGCATAGATATGTATAGGTAGATACACATTCCAGCCACGAATGAGGCATCTATGTATTTATATCAATGGTTATACGAAGGAACTATGAAAACGTTCCTCTGGTGCAAAAGCCACTTTTGTAAGTGTTCGGTGCCACTAGTGGTACAGAAATGTAAAAAAAAAGAGTATGTAAATAAATGTCTTGAAATATTTTTTATCTTCTTTTCATATTCTATACACTGCCAAAAACCTGCCTCCCTCTTACCTTGACTCTCCGCAAACTCCCTCATTTTCCTCCAGAGGGCGCTGGCAGGTTCTCGTGGGGAGCCAAGAGCGAGTTCCACTAGCATTGTGTTATCTTCTGACAGCCGCAGCTCGGCTAGCCTCACGTCTCCGCAACCCATGAACACAGCCTCAGTCAGCCAACCCATTGCCCAGTCTATAGGACAACACAGATGAGTATTTATGTGAGTGTTCACACCACACAACATAAACAATAAGCTGCTGCCTCCTGGTGGCAAGTCATTACCCAGTTGTTCAAAGTCTATCTCCAGCCCGTTTCTCAGGAGTGGGTTACACAGCCAGAACTCTGCTGTCTTCTCCTGGATGGAAGGGGGTGGGCCCTGCAGCATACCTCCCAGGCATCGACCAATGGCAAGAGCCACAGACCTCTCCAGGTCTAGTAGCCATGCCCAGTCTTCTGACTCTGACGCTGTGATTGGCTCAGAGGTTTCAGATGCTTCTGCAACAGGAAGTAAGTACTGTGTGTCCATCTCTGAATTTCTTAACAGCGTGTCACACTGATGATCTGTCATTTGTTATTGAATAAGTTGTTTTTGAATCGTTCGGATGTCAAACAATGTATTAAGGTATCCTGAACGTTTTCCGAGAATGAAATGTATAATTCTGGTCCTCACCCTGTGAGGTTCCTTCCAGCTCCATGTCTTCCAGGTGCGCAGTGTTGGGCAGATAACAGTTGAGCTCGTTGAGATGTTCAAGCAGAGTGAGTAGGTGAGGAAGGAGGGGTCTGACCACAGCCAATGGCAACAGGAGCAGAGAGTACATCACCTGACACAGAAGACTGCCCGCCACCGAAACAAACAGCACAGCTACAAAGAAACACACATATAACTCAATACTTGGTCTGGTTGGATCATGGGATGGCTACCATGGATGGAGGAACGGATGGCAAGATAAATGGAGGAATAACAGATGGATAGATGGATGGCTACATAAACAGATGAAGGGATGGATGGACGGACGGATGAGATGGGTGGATAAATGGATGGATGGCTACATAAGCCAAAGCAGGGGTGGAAAGAGAGAAGGATGGACTAATGGATGGATGGATGAATGGGAAACTACATAAATGGATGGAGGGGAAGGATGAACAGAAGGCTGGATGGGTGGATGGCTACATAAATAGATGGGAGGATGGAGGGGTGGATAATTGGATTGACTGTTTATGAATGGCTACATGGATGGATGGAAGATTGATGGATGGGGATGGATGGAGAAGCAGATGGATTGATGGATAAATGGATGGATGGTTAGATAAATAAACAGAGATAGAGATGGGTGGATGGCTGGCTACATAAACAGATGAAGAGATGGATGGATGGCTACATAAATGGAGGAATGGATGAATAGACTAACTGATTATGAATGGCTACATGGAAGGATGGATGGATGGACTAATGGATTAATAGATGGCTACAAATGGCTACATATATAGACAAAGGGATGGATGGATAAACACACAAAGAGATAGATGGATGGATGAATGGATGAAAGGAAGGGTACTTTACTGAATTAAAGGATAGGTGGATGGATGGATCAACAAATATACAGAAAATCGATTACTCCATAAATGGATAGATGGATGGATGGACGAATGGTTGCATGGACAGAAGGATGAATGGACACATGGATGCCTACATACATATGAACTGCTACTCTAGATGGATGGATGAATGAATGAAGGGAGTAACAGACAGATGGCTAGATGCATAGATGGTTAGATGGACAGATGAATGGCGCATAATGTGTGTTCTTACTGTGTAGTTTCTTGATGACGTGTTTGTCCAGTGTGCTCTCCTCCAGAAGGATGGTGGATCTCCTGAAGGTTTCGGCTGCATAAGGCAGCAGCAGGCACAGGTGCTTATGGAGCAGCACGACGCTACTGTCATCCTACACAACACACAAAATCTATTCTTTAAAAACGCTTATTATGCAGACCGCCTCCACCTCTGGGTTCTGGAACAAGAATTAAGAATCTTTGACTAAACATGCTCACACAACAGTATTTCATTTCTTAAAACTACAATCCATAACCACCGCAATGGCAGGAGCTATCACATGGAGTGGGTTTTAACAGGAAATGTGTCACTGTTGTACCTCAGCGCCTGTGTGGATGTAGCAGTGGGCCAGCAGGTGTCTGTGAAGGGCTGACAACAGGTGGTGGAAGTGTGATGGAGCCTCTGTCTGTTTCTGGGACTGACTGAACCGCTGTTTATCGCTGTTCTTCTCCAGTTCACCAAACGCACGCTCCTGAATGAACAAACAGCATTCAAAAGGGAACAGAGTTAACAGAAAGGAGAACATATTACGATTTGTGTTTTGATTTTTAAAAGTTTCCTCAAAATATATCACACATTAAATCCCTTTTATAATTGTATATATTTTAATTGTAATTTTATATAATTAAATATATATCAAAACATCTCAGTTTGGACTGGTTGTTCCTACAAGCAACTCCTGTGTAGGAAGTGGGCAGAGAGGATCAGAGACAGGTTTAAATATTTGCATATATAAATTATTATTTTAAATGATTATTATATACTGGGGTAAGTAAGGTTTTTTTAAATCAACACTTTTATTCAGCAAAAGGGACTGTAAAAACATTTATAATGTTACAAAATATTTCTATTTCAAATAAATGCTGTTATTTTAAAATGTAAACCTATACATAAAAGAATCATAAAAAAGTAACATGGTTTCCACAAAAAAAAAAGTTTTCATGTTTGCAACACTGATAATGTTTCTTGAGCACCAAATCAGCATATTAGAATGATTTCTAAACGATCACACTAAAGACTGGAGTAATGGCTACTGAAAATTCAGCTTTGCCATCACAGGAACAAAATATATAAAAAAAATATTTAAACAGAAAAAAGTCATTTTAAATTGTAATAATATTTCACAATATTACGGTTTTTAATTTTTTTTACTGTATTTTTGATCAAATAAATGCAGCCTTGGTCAGCATAAGATACATCCATTAAAAAACATAAAAAAACAGCAGTGTATATTATAAAGTAATTTTAAAAATAAAGTATCATATATATATATATACAATATATATATATATATATATATATATATATATATATATATATATATATATATGTATGTATGTATGTATATTTAATCAATTATAAATGATTTAATATTATATTTTTTATATATTTGTTCTTAATTATATATTCAAAATTTTTTGTAATCAGCAAAATTAATAAAAGAGGGAAGAACAAAATCGAAAGGTTTCCAAAAGAGGTCCAAGATTTTTGTAATTTAGATTGGGGTCCAATGCCAGATTTATGAACGCCAGTTTTAAAATGCCAGTTTCCTTTCCTAAAGCAGAACAGGAAAAACTTGGAATGAAGAAGTATTTGAGAAAGGCAGAAATTAATATGCTTATTAAAATTCAAATCAACTGAGGCTTGAAAATGGAAAACATCTTTTGTGTCTGTCAATCTGACAACTGTTGAACCAGTGGACTGACCGTATAGAAGCCAATGCTGAGCAGCAAGGTCTTCAGGAGCACTTCAGCCAGGTGGAGATGGTCTGGAGCTTCTGAGCCTGAGCTAACACTTCCTGTGGGGCGGTCAGGGGTGGGCGGCAGTGCCAGACCTGCACTCAACTCCCCAGGTGAGCTGTATCCCAGCAGGGATGCCACATGACTCTGTTCCTGCAGGCTGTTCAGCACCATGTCCAGCTGTAGACGCTGTAATAGTAATATCACCGAATCATTAGTGGAGCGCAATGGAACAGCAGGGGTTTCAGCGGTTATCAAATATTGATATACGTGCCAGACTTGAATATTGTTGTGTTTGCGTACCTGTCCTTTAGAGAGGCTTTCCCAGCTCTCTGGACCCTGTGGTAACAGCGAGTGCAGCAGCTCCGTTCTCTCCCTGAGAGGAGGCAGCAACAGAGATGCTCCGATGGACAGCGTGCTCATTACCGCCTCAACGCACAAACAAAAATTAATTACTATGGTGTAGAAATGACTCATATGCTGGCATTCTGACATGATTCAGTTGAAAGAGTTACACTGAACTCTTGAAGGTTGTGAAAGTCATGTCTCCTTCAAACACCCTCAAAGAGAAAACAGAGCCAACAAATTCCATCCTCTTAAGAGTTTTTAACATGTGGGCAGAACTCCAGCAGCATATGCAAGCATTCTGTTTGGCTAAAGTTGTTTACTGTTTTGTACTGATGCCAGAAATGATAGATTGTACAGTTGCAGCTTTTGTTTTTTAAAGAATTTTGAACACACAAAAAAAAAATTTTGAGCATTAAAACAATTCTGTATAAAAACTCCCAGTGGATATAATACACATTTAAAATAAATAAATAATTCAATGTAATAAAAAAAAATTTTTTATTATGTTTAATAAAAGAGTCACAGTAGCTTTCACAATGGCTACAACTTCAGCTTCATGGCTACAATTTCTATGTGTATTTGCACCAGTTCCCCACAAAATAAGAGGTTTTCTCTTGAACGCAGTGCTCTTTATTCACAAATTATTTTTTTCCTTTTTTTATATATATTTTTTGTTATATACATTTCATTGTCATTAGTAAATTAAATAAGCAACTTGGATGAAAACACAGCTACTGACAAATAACATATGCCTTGCCAAGTATAATTTTCCAAAGAGCACCATAAATCACAAAACAAAACAGATATTCATATATGCATAACTGTTTAGCACATTCTGCGAGCTTTGTTTCTTCTAATCTGAATTTAAGGTAATAAATGACAAAGGTACATTACTTTTCAAAAGTTTGGTGTCGGTAAGATTTTTAAATGTTTTTGAAAGAAGCCTCTTATGCTCACCAAGGATGCATTTGTTTGAGCAAAAATACAGTAAAAATATTTTGGATTCTCTGATGAATAGAAAGTTCAAAACAACAGAATTGATTTGAAAGTGAAATCTTTTGTAAATTTGAATTGTCTTTACTGTCTCTTGATCAATTTAATGTTTCCTTACTGAATTGTAAATGTAAGTATATGCAAAAATTTCTGAATTTTGAAATAAACAGTAACTGTAAGTGATACTGATGTGGCATATAACATTTCAAAAAAAGAAAATGCATAACAAAAACACACTAAAGCCCACTGTTTCATAGCAGACCTGTTGTATGGAGTCAGGTACATTAGAGTCAATGAGTCTGAAGAGCAGGTTCCTGAGGGGCCGACCCTGAGCACCCAGCACTGTGGCACCCGTTCCCCCTGCATGGGCCAGCGACAGGTGGATGGATAACAGTTTCATACACAACAACAAAAACTGGTGATGTTCCCTGGAGAAGAAACAGAGAGGGCGAGAGTGAGAAGTTGAAGTCTAGAGTGAGATGAGAAGTATAGAGTGACCTTTACAGAGTGCCAGGCCATATGCTGCTCTGACCCCATCCCTGTGGGCATGGAGACGGTTATTGGCTAGTGCTAGTTACCCCTGTGGCTGTGTGTGTGTGTGTGTGTGTGTGTGTGTGTGTGGCATTCCAGCTATATGAGTGTCTGCAGCTGACATTGACATTGACACAGATAAACCAGAATTCTTGCTTGCCTATGCAAAACTCTCTGCCACAGTTCTCTGGTGTGCTAGGTGGTTGCTAGGGCATTGCTATGCAGTTGTTTAGCTGATATGGTGGTTGCTATGTAGTGACTTGAGAGAAAAATTAAAACCTGAAGTAGAAACTTGGAAGCTAGAGTTAGAGGTTCATAAGTATGAGCAATAGTAACCCCAATCATTAGAGGCACAAATAATAAAATAAAACAAAACAAAACAAAAAAAGTTATGGATGGGGATGTTCTCTTAAAACAAAGATTTTAAAAATAAAATATGATAATATATGCGGCGCAATGCAATGCAACACGTAAAAAGACAGTCATTATAATCAGTAAATATGTCCCAACTGGACGCAACAAATGCCTCATTTATAATGGGTTTTATTCGTTTTGTCTAGTCCTTAAACCTTAAACCGCATAAACACATTTCATTACACCAAATAATGTTCTTTTTAGCATCATCATATGACCCCTTTAAGGTATTCTGGAAGCTTCTACATAATGGGAACAAGACATTTGACACACTCTCTCTTTCGTTGGAGATACTGGGAACATTTACAGAATGAAATGTTCTGACCTCAAGGTCAACATACATCACTTACCATCTTGAGGCCTCAGCAGGAAAATTTCTGCGATATTATATAATCTGTATGACAGCTCTTTTGTAATCTCAAAGCTTGAAGTCGACAGATGTAAACTACTGACATCTGGCATTGCAAATGTCTATGAATCAGATTGGCATGTTTCAAGCATCCGTCCATAATATGAAATTATATTTCATTCTTCTTTTTATAAAGTATAACAAACATTTGCAATATTCTAATTTAAACAAAAAATAAAAAAATAAACTCAAAATAGAAAAAAAATTGAAAAATAAAAATAAAAAACGTAAATAAAATGTATTAAAATGAATAAATATTTTTAAATCTATCCATATCCACATACCTACCTATCAAAGAACGAGATTTGTTGCATGATTTGCTTTTAAAACAGCAATATCTGACACTCTGTGCCTCTATACATACATTAAACTGTACATATTTTCGATTAATGGTTTGTGGTTCAAATCACAATCCATCATTTGTAAATCTGGGTGGGTTGGTGCTGGGTTTTTACCTCTTAGAGGGGAAAGGTGCAGGTGGTGTGTCCCCACTGATACTATCGCAGTAACGCTCCAGGAAACTGCGGAGGTATGTAAACGTGCTCTCCTCGAGATCCACACAAAATGGCCTGTGCCAAGCCACCAGCTGTCTGCCAGGCGCACAAACACACATTGATAACTCACACTCAGTCCTGTCAGGAAAACAATGGAACTGAATAGCTGTGAATAATGGAAAATTAAAAATGTGAATGTATTAATACATTAGCGGTGAAACTCACGCCAGGTTTTTGATTACGTTTTTGATTTGTGAAAATGAGAAAGGTGCCGTTTCCCGTAGGCTCAAACTCATTTAAGGATAAACTGCTTTTGGTTAGGGTTTAGATCAGGAAGAGACATTGCTTATCCATAAGCAATGAGATGCATGAAATACCGAACATGCATTGTGGAAAAGCAATCAAATCCTGTGCCAAGCCACCAGCTGTCTGCCAGGCGCACAAACACACATTGATAACTCACACTCAGTCCTGTCAGGAAAACAATGGAACTGAATAGCTGTGAATAATGGAAAATGAAAAATGTGAATGTATTAATACATTAGCGGTGAAACTCACGCCAGGTTTTTGATTACGTTTTTGATTTGTGAAAATGAGAAAGGTGCCGTTTCCCGTAGGGTTTAGATCAGGAAGAGACATTGCTTATCCATAAGCAATGAGATGCATGAAATACCGAACATGCATTGTGGAAAAGCAATCAAATCTCAACTAATGAAATACAGCTTCCTCTTTCTACTCACCTGTCTGTAGGAACCGCTGTCCAGGCCAGGCTGTGGGACGTGCCTGCAGTAATCTGCTGTATTGACACCCCTTCTAAACCAATCACTTTCTTGGGTTTGGTGACTGGTGTTGAGGTATGGCCCTGCCCACACTGCCCCATGGCATTGTTGCCCCAAGCAAATACTTCATTTTCTACAACACAAACCAATGAAATGACTCAAGCATTTTCTTAAAGAAAAAATTCATCAATCTGAGAATTTAATTTCAGTGAAAAACGACTTTTTCTCACACAAAGCTAGCATATGGCTTCAGAAAATTTGGAATATAGCACACAAGTTGTATAGACTATTTTTATGAAATCTTTTTCACACTTAAAAGTATCAGTTCCCATTTACTGTATCATCAAAACCTTTTTTAGAGGTTTGGAATTACATGAAGGGGAGTAAATAATGAAATTTAAAAAAAAAAAAAGTTAAATATTCCTTTAATCCTCAACAGTGTTACTGCAAACTAATGCTAAAAAAACAACTAATTAATGTAACTTAATGAAGCATCAATCTGAGAATTTAATTTCAGTGAAAAACGACTTTTTCTCACACAAAGCTAGCATATGGCTTCAGAAAATTTGGAATATAGCACACAAGTTGTATAGACTATTTTTATGAAATCTTTTTCACACTTAAAAGTATCAGTTCCCATTTACTGTATCATCAAAACCTTTTTTAGAGGTTTGGAATTACATGAAGGGGAGTAAATAATGAAATTTAAAAAAAAAAAAAGTTAAATATTCCTTTAATCCTCAACAGTGTTACTGCAAACTAATGCTAAAAAAACAACTAATTAATGTAACTAACTGAAACTAATTTAAATAAATCTGAAATAAAAAATATAGACATATTGCCTTGGCAACTAAATGAAATAAGTTTAAGTACTTAAAAACTACTAAAACTGAAATAAAAATCAAATAAAGCTACATAAAAAAATACTTAAAAAAACAAACCTAATAAAAATTACAAAATCACAGTAAGATTCCTAAAACTTTAACATTCAAAAATAAATATACAAAATAAATATAATAATATGATATAAATATAAAAAAAATAAATAAAATAACTGCATTGATCAACAATTAATTTTTATACAATTTTCTATAAAATTTCTATAAAATTAAGTTCTATAAAGCAATTAAAAAGTTATATTAAATTAAATTTAATTTTTAAAAAAAAAAAAAAGTTAAATATTCCTTTAATCCTCAACAGTGTTACTGCAAACTAATGCTAAAAAAACAACTAATTAATGTAACTAACTGAAACTAATTTAAATAAATCTGAAATAAAAAAATATAGACATATTGCCTTGGCAACTAAATGAAATAAGTTTAAGTACTTAAAAACTACTAAAACTGAAATAAAAATCAAATAAAGCTACATAAAAAAATACTTAAAAAAACAAACCTAATAAAAATTACAAAATCACAGTAAGATTCCTAAAACTTTAACATTCAAAAATAAATATACAAAATAAATATAATAATATGATATAAATATAAAAAAAATAAATAAAATAACTGCATTGATCAACAATTAATTTTTATACAATTTTCTATAAAATTTCTATAAAATTAAGTTCTATAAAGCAATTAAAAAGTTATATTAAATTAAATTTAATTTAAAACGCAGTTTAAATATCAAACTCTGCAGACGTTAGGAAAAAAAATGCAGTTTGCAGCAGAAGTTGCCACTATCAGAGCAGAAATTACACATTTCATCTTTTTTTTTATTTTTATCTAATACTATTAATACTAGTTTCTTTTCCTATTTTGTTTCTCCATCTCTCTTACCGTGAGACAGAGCGAGACAGTGGCTGTCTCCACAGGAAATGTCTATGATTTTAGTAATACTGAGCTCCTCTATTAATCGAGGTCTGAGTGAGGTGGTCTCAGACGAGCCGCAGCCGAGACACGAGCCGCAGCCCCATGCAAACACCTGCATCACACACACACAGGAGAACACAGAGACACAAGAATTTATATGGGTGTATAACAGTACATGTTTACTCAGCGATATGTGTGAGGTTGTGTATACCTGGCCAGCAGATGTCAAAGCCAGTGACGACTGGCTCCCAGCACACACTTTTCTGATAATGAAGCCATGAAGGGCTTCTATCACTTTAGGCCTGTACACACGGTTTGTGTCCCCATGTCCCAGTTTACCTGCAACACAAACACAGAATTTACATGTAGAGAACTGCCTCTGACATGGACAATAATAATTTAAGGTGTGTAAGAGGCCGTGTCTGCACTTGTTTCACAACTGGCTCTATATTTTGCCTGATAAACACACTTTACAGCAGCTTTATCTGAAATAGGTTTGAGCCTGTCATGATGTTATGTCTGATAGTGCTACGATACAGAACAGAGCACTCTGAAGGGTACACGGCTTTGCTGTTTCATATGTACACACCGATTTTGATCCAGAGTGTTACCATGACAAGCTTGAAAACTCACGAGTATAGTTGTTAAAATTCTTATGTTAAATAAAACTTGACTCAAATATTGCATCTTTGTGTGCTGTTCAATTCAAATTGTTCCATTTAAGTGAAAAAAAAAACATGAAAATCTATTTTCACGGATAGCCATCGAGTGAACAAAAGCTATTGAGTTTTGCAGTTAGAGACTGGCCGATAGTTCTTTTTTGTGACCAATTTAGAATATTATGTTTGAATGAATTATTAAATGAAATAAAAATGACAGACAGACAGAGACGATAGATAGATAGATAGATAGATAGATAGATAGATAGATAGATAGATAGATAGATAGATAGATAGATAGATAGATAGATAGATAGATAGATAGATAGATAGATAGATAGATACCGTTGTCTCCTCCTCCAAAGGACCAGACGATTCGTCCATCTTGAGCCACAGCAATGGTATGAGAGCTGCCACAGGCCACTTGCCCGACCCCACTGATGTCCTTCACCAGAGTGGGCATGTTACGACTGTGACTGTCGCTGTGACCTACATGACAGGCAGACAGAGTAAAAATGAGACTGAGACAGACAGGCAAAACTTCTGACACAACAGTCTGACTCATTGTCTGACAAATTATTTCACTGTGGATTTGAGAAAAGTCTGTGCAGTGTGTACTGTGCACAGCAGTCATTCAAACCATAAAAACCACCTCACAAAAATCAATAGTGAATTGTATTTCACTGACAACACTATATACTAGATATACTAGATCCTCAGGTGTGTGTGTGTGTGTGTGTGTGCGCGTGCGTGCGTGTGTGTTTAGTGATGCTGAGAGTCTGTAAGAGGAGAGTGATGTACCGAGTCGACCGAAGTCGCCTTCCCCCCAGGTGTACAGCTCTCCGTCATTAGTCACCGCGGCGCTGTGTCTGTATCCAGCAGAAACACACACCACCACCTACAATACACACATAGGAAACACACACACACTTTGACAAATGCAATACGACAAACTAGTTTGTTACATTTTTTAAGAAATATTAGTGGTTGTTAAGAGTGTTTGTGGTTACTGTGTTTTGGTTGATTTTAGAATGTGGCTATGCAGTTGCTAGTGTTCTGTGGTTACTAGGGCATTGCTATGTGCTCGCTATAGTCATCTGGTTGATTTTTAGTATGTTTGGTTGTTGCTGGTGGAATTCAGGGGTTGCTGGGGCACTGCTATGTGGTCATTAGCATGTTTTGATTGATATTATAATGTCTATGCAGTTGCTAGGGTGTTCTGTGGTTGCTAAGGAATTGCTATGTGGTCGCTAGGGTGTTCTGAGTGATTTTTAGCATTTTGCTATGCAGTTGCTAGGGTGTTCTGTAGTTGCTAGGGCATTGCTACTGTATGTGGTCGTTCGGGTGTTATGACTGATTTTTAACATGTTTCTTTGCAGTTGCAAGGGTGTTCTGTGGTTGGTAGGGCATTGCTATGTGGTTGCTAAGGTGTTCTGTGTGATTTTACAATGTTGCAGTTGCTTCGGTGTTCTGGGGTTGCTAGTGCATTGCCTTGTGGTCGCTAGGGTAATTTTTTTGGAAGTTGTTATATTGTTGTTAGGGCATTAAGGGGTTGCTAGGGCATCACTGTGTGGTTGCTAGGGTAGTTTCTATTGTGTTCTGGGGTTGTGTTTGTTAAGGCATTGGTAGGTATTCTGGGTTTGCTAGGGCATTGCTATGCAGTTGCTAGGGTGTTGTGGTTGCTAAGGCATTGTTGTGCAGGTGTTAGATTGTTCCGGGTGATTGCTAAAACATTGCTATGCAGTTTCGATTGTGTTGTTGGGTTGCTAAAATGCTACAGTGGCGTTAGAGGTTGTTTTTATATTCTATATTCTAAGTGATTTTAGCATGTTGCACTACAGTTGCCAGGATGTTCTGGATTTGCTAGGACATTACTATGTTGTTTCCAGGGTGTTGCTATATGGTTCCTAGTGTCCTCTTAATGATTCCAGCATGTTACTATGCAGTTTATAGGGTGTTTTGGGTTCTAGGCTAAGGTGCATCTTGTTTCTAGGGTGTTCTAAGCAGTGTTGGGCAAGTTACTCTGAAAATGTAAACAGATTACTGATTACTCCTTTTAAAAGTAATCACGTTACTGTTCTGATTACTTTATTTCAAAAGTAATTAGTTACATTACTAGTTACGTTACTTTTTTCTCCATGAAATTTATGAAATCCCAGCATACACGCTCCTGATAAATATTTGTTATTAAAGCATCAACATTCACAGAACACTGTTATTTTTAACTAAAGCAAGCTGCTGCTGCGTGCATGGTTTGGCATGGCAGAATGCCAGCAAAGAGCACTGCATTTATAATCTCTAAAAGATATCTCAGTTCATCGCAATCTCACAAATCTCTGTTATAACACAATAAATATATGCATTATGATGTTTTCATAATGTCTACAATTCGTGTTATAATCAGAGGATTCGTGAACACGCAAAATTCAGCTCAATGCTGCAAACACGTGTTATAGCCTAAATAGAAACTCTGCATATGCTTGCAGTTGTTAATCGTTTATATTCTATATTAGTTCATGTAGCTTTTGTGTAATAGATGACTAACAATTTATTTGTTTTAGATATTTTATGTTTAGATATTTTGATTTTGCGGGAGTCCCGTGAATCATTTTATTCTCCCGCATCCCGCACACACACGAGTCTCTGCACTTGCCTATCAAGTCTTGTCCCGCACTCTGTTGCGTCGGGTCTCGCGGGAGCATGTCTTTAATCCACTGGCACTTGACTCGACATTGCGTGTGCTGCATCTTTTTTACAATCTCCAGATTATAAAACACTGCATTCTGTCAGCAATGTAACGCGGCAGTAACGTATAGAGACCTCGGCTTGTAACTATACTCTAATTACTATTTTGAAATTTATAACGTGTTAAATTACTCCGTTACTAAAAAAGTAATCAAATTACAGTAATGCGTTACTAAGTAATGCGTTACTGCCCAACACGGGTTCTAAGGTGGCTAGGATGTTGTTATGGTGTTGCTAGGTGGGTGTTCTAAGGTGGTGATATATGGGGCAACTTTTTTGAACAATGTTGTTTGGGCACTTTTCCACTGAGAATGGGCAACAAATTTCTATCTCTTTCACTCCATAGAGAAAGGTCTGAATACTTTAGATCGGTCGAGGGCCCAGTGTCTCACCTGGTTGCCTGTTGACGGCAACATTGCTCAAAAAGTTGCCCCGTGTATCATCACCTTTAGAGTGATCTGGAATGTTGTCCACTGGTCCAAGTCAGAAGATATGCCCAGGGATATGATTTCAATTAGACAGTCACATCCAAACATAAAAAAAATAATAATGTAGAAAACACACTCTCACCTTTCCTAAAAGAGGGCCTTGTATAATCTTGGGGTATTTCTGTGTGGCGCTGTTCCCATGGCCCAGTTTGCCGTAATCTCCATCTCCCCAGCTGAACACCTCTCCCTCCGCCGTGACGGCGAGCGTGTGTCCGTCTGATCCCTTGGAAGACGACACCTTCCTCATGGTACGAGGCGGTTCCAGAACCAGCTTTTTGGGCATGGACTGGTTATTAGAGTCTCCCAGTCCCAATCGACCATAACTACCCTTCCCACAAGCCTTCACTGCACCATCAGCAGATACAGAAAACGTGCAGTACTGGCCTGCCTCAATCTGCAGGTGGAAAGAGAAGAGCACCATTTAGAGCCAAGTGAATTGAATCAACTGTGATGGAGATTGCCTAAACTGTATTAGTGAAAGGGCACAGTTTATTAAGATGTGGCTGCTGTTTTCTAAATTGCATTTCTCAATAATAATGAAAAGACATGTCTGTTTTAAAAAGCAGAGACTTCAGATTAGGTAACCAGTCTTTGCACAATACATACTCTGATAGTTAGAGAGGAAACAAAGAAATTTAGTTCAATAAGCTGGTCTACTATTATTTATAATGCAGTCAGTAACCACTATGAAACTGACGGCATTATAAACTATATACTGTTTAAATAAATAAATAAGTAAGTAAGATAACTTCTTGTGGCATCTTAAAGCTGTAACAAAAGGCACAAAAATCTTAAATTAAATAAAGTAGAAAAATAATATAAATATTAAAAAATAAAATAAATAAAAAAGGACAAAATATGCCATATTTTCAGATTTCAATATGCATATTTATTTTGATGATTTTACAAAAAAATAATAATTTAGTAAGCAAATTAATTAATTAATTTACAGATCTCACCCCTTTTTCTCCCTATCATTTCTTGTCACCTCTTAAAGCTGTAATAAAAATAAATTAATTAATTAAATAGACACAAAAATCTGCAATAAAATAATTAAATGTATAAATAAAATGTTTAAAATATAAAATGAAATTAAATGAAAGAATGAATGAAAAAGAAAAAATGCCATTTATATTACCAGATTTCAATATGCATATTTCATTCAATCATTTAAAAAAAATCATAATAATTTGGCCCTATATGATGGATCTGTTGTCATGCAGCTAACAATTTAATTTACTGTACATTTTCTATTTATTTCTGTCATACAGGAAAGTGGAACGAAAGGACCTTTTAATTAAAAGTTATTTTGTAAAACTGTCAAACTGAGCGTTGCGATCCGACTCATTCAATTTTTCTTCAAGTGGTCTGTCTCCTCCTCCCCATGCTGTCTCTGTTGGAATTAATGTTAGCTTCACGACGGCTTCCAGTTATTTGGATTTTCAATACACTTGAGGAACATAAACCCACACAAACCATTTGTGCATCGCTGAAGCCCTGAGCCAGCTTGGGCTGTAAAATCTTCTCCAGCGTTCCCTCGGCGAGTTGATGGCTGCTGTTGCTGCCCCACACGTACACCATGACGGCATCAATTTCGGAGCCGGAGGAAGAGGAAGAGCCCGCACTGCATGAGCACAGGCAGTTAGAGGCCAGGGTGCAGATCTACAACACACATGCACATATACAGATTAAAAACGTACTTATCAGAATAAATAGTGGCCAAAGTCTCTCATACTCAGCCTGAGAATTTTTTTTATAACACATTATCCTACAGTCTGAGAACGCTTGTAGGTTTATTCACACAAACACACCTCTTCAAAGAGGCAAAGAGCAACATGCGAGAGGCTACAGAGTCCATCTGCATCTTTCTTCAGCACCTGAGTATTGATGGATTCACCACGAATAGCCTGTAACAACAAACAACAAATTAATCCCAATAATATTAGCAGCTACAATATAGATTGCTCATTGAAATACTATAGAACCACAAAACCTGATAACATACTTAATGCATGTCACTGATACATCTATGTGATCAAGTTTTTATTCTAACAATGTTCTAACTACAGCCTTTAGCTCTGACAAAATAAAATGGTGGCGTATTGCTTGAAGTTGCAATGAAATGGAAGTAGTGACAGATCCTTTCTCCCATATTATGATTTAAGGCTGTAAAATGGATTTTCAGAAAAGAAAAACTGTAGGGTAGGGGCTTGGTTCAATCCATTGGTTGTTGATTGAATAATTAAGAATTACGAGGTCAAAACAAATTTGAAAATTTTTTTACGCATACACGGTTCACAACTGTTCACAATAAGATAGATATAGAAAAATAGATAGGGCAAATTTTATTTTCATGCCGACACAATGTGTTCCAGATGATGGGTTCTTTCCAAGACATCTTGATAATGGCTGGTCAATATGACTCGAAAATAAAAGCATACATATATGTTTTCAAATTCACTAACACCACCCATTCAAATGGTCTATTAAATGATAGGAACATAAAGTGAAACTGCAATCACAACCCAGGTCACTTCTGTAATGGATTAAAACTAAATATTCATAGAGAAATCTAAATGCAGAGTAGGACTTGTGAGGTGAAAAGTGACCTGAATGCTAAAGTTGGCTAAAACGCAACATCTAAATCACTGTTTGACTATTGGTTAGCATTATCAAGTGGCCCAGGCAACATAGGTCGACATTAGCATGAAAGGAAATTAATTTACTATGTTTACTCCACCTCACCAAAGTACTGAACTTTGTACTCCGGAGTAGGAGAATCTTTAAAGGGGTCATATGATGCGATTTCAAGTTTTCCTTTCTCTTTGGAGTGTTACAAGCTGATTGTGCATAGATAAGATCCCTGAAGTTGCAAAGACTAAAGTATCAAAACCAAAGAGATATTCTTTATCAAAGTTAAGACTCTGCCCCGCCCCCCTAAAACGGCTCGTTCTAACACGCCCCCACATATCTACGTCACTATGTGGAAAATTTGCTTAATGCCGCCCAAATGTGCACGCAAAGAAAGAAGGCGTGGTTTCAGTAACCGCAGTTAGTGTTGAAGCAGCATGTCAGGGAGACGCTGTGGGTTTCTAGGCGAAAGCAGAAGCACTTTATTTGGCCTTCCGAAAGTAGATGCATTTAGGAATCTTTAAGATTACTTACAACAGAACAGCAATGCATTTTATGGACGACCATTTCGTGAACCTAGGAGAGGAGGTAATTCTGACTTTGCTATGACAATCTGGCGCTTCTGAATCAGCTACTGTTTTGTTATTAGTTTAAGTATTTGCTATTGACTGTTCAAATGCGGAGTTTTGCGCATTGTGTGTGTGTGTGTGAGAGAGAGAGAGAGACAGAGACAGGGTCACATCACAGTGGAGTCAGCTGTCTTAACTGTGGCTTGTGTACTGCAAACACATACCAGCTTCATCACTGTGTCTGTCACACGACTCTGTTCCCCTTTCGGGCTTGAACTGATGGTAAAACTAATGATATTATTTACTGTCTTTACATTTATTTGAAAGATGAAGCTCGCGATTATGGTAAGGTGCGTTACATTTCCGACGAGTGCCTGTGGTGTTCGGTCAATCACAATGCACTGGGTCAGCTGGCCAATCAGAGCAGACTGCACTTGTTGGAAGGAGGGACTTTGTAGAAAACGAAGCGTTTGAGAGAGGCGGGGCATAGAGGACCTACAATAATGTACAGTATTGGAAAAATAATGTGTTTTTTGAACATTAAAGTATGTCAACATATTCTGTTACACCAAATACACAAAATAATGATCTTTAAAAAAGCATCATATGACCCCTTTAAACAAACAGCTCCTTTAGTACAGGAAACAACTTCTGCTGAACTTCAAGCACAGAAGCCTTGAAGTAGACATATTTCCCATTGATTAAGACATGAATAAATTAGAGCACGGCACATGGCATGTCTGGTGTGGCTCAGGCGGCTTTCAGAGCTGGGAAGACAGCCAAGAGCTCCCGGTCAAATGAAAGCTACAATCTTATTTAGAGCAAAGAGAAATGTTCAATCCATTCCTGCCCTCAATGAGAGGAATACATAATAATGGTAAACTACTATATGGCGCTAATGTATTAGCAGTAACATTTAGCAAAAATGACTTCCTTTAAGTGCTGAGGGAGGGATGAACAAATGGAGGAAAGTATTAGCCTAGCCTCAGTGCCGTAAATCTATACTCTCTGTGCGTTTGAAAGAGCCACAGCTTTCTAAATTAGAGCCCATTATCCACTGGTATTACTGTATATTACTTCACTCATGCCATTAGCATGACCGCTAGGTCAACCGCATGGTGCAGGAACACACCGTGTGCTGGCGCATCTGTTGCAGGGTTTGATGGATCAGCTCGTAGCCCACTCCAACTGTTTCAGTCGTGGTGGAGGAAGAGGAGGCGGCCAACGCCACCTCCACCCACTCCAGAAGGAAGCGCAAGGATCCTCTTTGTAAGGCTAACGAGAGAAGGAGCTCCAGGGATAGCCTGCGACCCGCCCGATCCGCCCCGGACCCACTGACCGCTGTCTTCTTTAGGAAGTCTCCAACTTGCATAAGACAGTCAAGCCCCACTGTCGGGATCTTGTTCTCGTTGGCCAAGGAAAGAGGAGGCAGGGCGGCCAGGACTGAAGACGCGGTGGCCAGTACCTCGTTGCACAGAGCGACGTCCGGTGGGTTCTCAAGACGCCCCCTCTGCCAACTCTGCCTCAGTAGGGCAAAAAGGAGACTCAACCCAGTCCGGACTCCCATTTCAATGAGAACGTCTGTGCCCGACTTTGAACGGGAACTGCCTGTTGGCCAAGGCTCAGACACTGACTCCAGAGCGCCCCCTTCTGCACTGGAGGATGAGGGTTGGGGAGGCAGCGGTGCTCGGAAACGGTCGTGATATTTGCTATGGAGGGCGTAGAACACCCTCTGGAGGATCACCAGTCTGTGGTGCAGGGATAGGGCAAAGGGGGTCCTCGCCAGCATGCGGTGGGCCAGGCATCGCTGACTGTGGAGCAGTGCGGACAGATATTCCTCCTTCTCCTCCTCAGCGCTGGATTCGTACTGGAAGTCGGGCAAGCGTGGACCCATTAGGTCTTGCACTGGCTGAGCCAAGCCCACAACCTCCTTGTTGTAGACCAGTTTTGCATAGAGAGCAGCAGCTCCGTGCCGTGTGGCGGTCTGAACGCTGTCCTCCGCCGCCCAGGAGCTGTTCAGGTGCTCCTGCCACTTGAGCATCACGTGGGTCTGAGAAGGCACCATCACTGTACATTATTCACACACAAGAGGCACAAAGCTGGAAGAGAGAAAAAGAACACTTGCACAGCAGTGTGATCTAAAATGGAAATCCAGGACTAAAACCTTGAATAAACCAGACACCATCAGCCTGAGAATTGAGCAACCTGGACGCCTGCCTCAGTTTCTTTCACGTCAGTGAAACCGGGTGGCCTTCTCATCACTTTGAGCAAGTTACCACCACCTCCTGTTGGTCAGTGTCTATGAGCAACATGACCCAGCACTTCCACGTCTGCCCTGAGTCTTACACCGCGGGATTTATTACACTCCACAGCCTCTACGGTTTCAGTATGTATAAAAATAAAAAGGATGCTTCTCAAAGCTGCTTCACAGTTATGTGGGAGGTGGTGTGGGACCGAGTGTCACATTCCCTGGGAACTCTGACTAATCCTACGAAAACCATGACAATAACAAGTCCTTAATGTCTCTATGTAAAGAGACGCTGAGCTTACACTCTGAGGTGTTTACCACTTTGCAGACATATTGGCGTGAGTACAATGCGCTGGTGGGTGTAAATATAGACAATCCTCAGTTACATGTTACTATTAATAATCAGAAAGAGGAACAGTAGTTATGCACCCAAACAGTAATTTTAGAGCATGTTTAAAAATAGAACAGAGGACATACAGTTTTAAACCAGTGTTGATCTGATAGCTGTTGCGTATGCTTTACACATTAAACTAGATGACAAAATAACAGCTGGGTTATTCCCACTAAGAAGTTCAAATGTGTTGGATATTATATTAAAGTCACATCAAAAAAAATTTAAAAAATAATCAAATGAACCATATTAGTTAGTTTTAATACACTACTGTTTAAAGTTTTGTGGTCGGTGAGATTTTTGTTTCAAAGTTTGTGTAAAGGCAGAGAATTGTAACTATAATAACTAAAGCGCATTAGCGTCAGTGGTTCGCCCGCTCAATCGCAAGTTACTGTCATTACTGTTAGTTACTACAGTACAGCCTACAACTAGCTAGCTATGCCTTCGTCACGTAAATGCATATTACCTGGTTGCGATAATTATTTAATTAATATTTTTGTGGAAACAAAGATACATTCTTTTCAGGATTCTTTGATGACTAGAACGTTCAACAGAACAGCATTTATTGGAATTTTGCAATATTATAATTGTCTTAACTGTCACTTATGATCCATTAAATGCATCCTTGCTGAATAATTTATTTCCATTAAAAAAAAAAATAATAATTAAATACTAGGTGTATATGCCCATGATATTTAATTACTTCAGAGGTTGGGGAAAAAATGTGTGAAAAACTGGCAATTTAATCAAATATTTATTTTGACAAGATCAAGGATTTTTCTCCTCTAGCGTCAAAACAAACCACTGCCCATCCTATTAGACTTTTGTAAAATCCCTTTAACTAAAAGCCAGCTTCTTAATAACATTATCCTCTGGCAAGTCACATCATTTTGGTGGGAAAACAACAGCACAAATATCAATATACACTAGCAACAGATTTTATGATGTATGTGCTGTTGCAATGTTTGTTTAACTTTAAAACAACACAGTTTGATAAAATTACAGGCATCAGTATGATAGAATAAAAAACTTGGTTCTCTCAAAACTCTCAGTGCCTTACTAATTTTAGCATCCTGTTAATTTTCTTAGTCTTTGTGTAAATAATCACATCTGACCAAAGCATGATAAAAGCATGAAAGTCTGCTACATCTTTTTATGGAAATATTTTCTTAAATTACAACACAAGCATATTATTTAAAAACAATTTTTTACAGAGTTCATAAGAGTGCTGCATAACAAGAACGCCCTATTAAAAATTGGGATTATAATAACATATCAATCTGCGGTCTCTTTTGTCTTAATTCCTGAAATGTTTTCAAGTATATTTCTTGGAAACCCAGATGCAAATGAGCCCACAGTCAAATGATGGAACGCACAAAAGATGTTAACCGAAAACAGAGAGCACAGATATACCACAGGGTCATTCCCAGTCACAGAGGTGTAGGACTGAGCTTGAATCAATCAGACAAACATAAAGCTGTCTAGCCAAGATTTTCCATTGCCAAGTGCCTATCACTGTTGACCTTCTGTTGAAGACTGAAGTAGATTGAATTCAGCCAATCAGAATGGCCTGGGGGGTTGATAGTCTGAACACCTGACTGATCCAGGACAACTGTGACAACTAAAACTTCCATCCAGTCTGATCACATTTCAGACAGAGGCCATCAAAACATAGGGCATGTCAAGGTTTCAATGCATAAGAGGAGAACAGAGTCAAAGGAGATACTATAAGCACAACTACGAAGCTGAGCTTTGAGGTTTGTGTTGAATATGAGTGCAAAATGTCTCCTGAACACTGTGTATAAACATTAAATGTTTCATTTTTTCATATCAGAAGTGTCTGGCACCCGTTATGTGCTCTGGATCAACTTGTTTGGACCTCAAAGTAAACAATAAAGACTTTGATTATGAAACGCACCATAATGTCATGCAACATGCACTAAGATGAAGTTCTCCTCTCACAGAATTGAGAAACTAAATAATTATTTTATTAAACCTAAAATAATCATTAATTTTAACCAAAGTGACTGTCAGAGAAATCTGATGTCAACCCTCTACATTGTGAGTAAATCACTCGCAAATGCGACTAAATTTCTGCGACTTTTCCGGAAGCAGAAAAGGAGAAAAGCACCAGGCCCAGATTGTGTTACACCAGTCTGTCTGAAATCCTGTGCTGACCAGCTGGCCCCCATCTTCACACAGATCTTCAACAGATCACTGGAGCTATGCGAAGTCCCTTCATGTTTCAAACGCTCCTCCATCATCCCCGTCCCAAAGAAACCCAAAATTACTGGACTTAATGACTACAGACCTGTGGCTCTAACGTCTGTGGTCATGAAGTCTTTTGAAAGACTGGTGCTGGCCCACCTGAAGGACATCACTTGACCCTTGCTGGATCCTCTTCAGTTTGCCTACAGAGCAAACAGGTCTGTGGACGATGCAGTAAACATGGGACTGCATTATGGACCGTTCCCTGTAGGTCCCACCTTCTCGCATGCCACGATTGGTCGATTATGTATAATGCCTGCACTCTATTGGCCATTACTTTGAGCAAGTATGAAAACAATAGGAAAACAAAGCCACAACCTGGACAATTTCAGCAATTTAGGAATCCTGCCCTGGAGGTCGTGTAGTCACCCTAGCTTATGCACATTCATAAAATCCCAGCAAAATTAATTTGGTTTGGTGCTTGTCTAGCTGGTAGACAAGTAAAACCATTTTGTTAAGCAACAAAACAATGCTGTTTAACCAGCATGGTCCTTCTAATGAAGCTGGTGCACCAAGGGAGGCTTTAAGGTTAAAAACAGTAAAAACCAGTACAGACATCAGCATCTAAAACTAAACGGCCTGGTCTTTTCAGGGTTTGAACCTACCATCTATAACCACTACACCACATCACCCCCAAGAAACTGCTATGGTGGACCAGAAAGCACCAGATCCGATCTGTCAAACAACCCACTATGCATCTAACCTTGAGCTTTACCCATTGCGACCTATGATTGCGACCCAAATTATCACAAAAAAAATAGAATTACTCTGTAAATAAATAAATAGGCTGTGGCCATTTTGAAGTCGAGAAAAGTGACATCAAATATTTCCATTTCTTCTGACAACACTTTTCCAACCTATTTTAATATTTTGCTTGACATTAATAAAAGCATAATTTTAATGAATAATTTTATGTTTAAGGACAAAATCCCAAACAAATTGAATCAGTGAGTTAAAACTTACTGATTAAAACAGTCTGATTTATGTACAAATGCTTTAATATTTTGAATTACATTATATATATATGTATATATATATATATATATATATATATATATATTCTGTTTTCATTTTCATTTTAGTATTTTTTTAATGGCTATAATGTTGCCTTGTTAACTAGCTGAAATGAAAGAAGTTGAAGTTTTTTATATTTTATTTCAAGTAATGATTTTTTTACGGTATTAGTTTTAGTAACCCTGCTTGAGAAGACTTGTAATATAGTACATGATTCATATAGACCACTAATTTAATGCTTTTATGGTGTTTTTGTCATTTGGAGCCCCATTCCATTAATGTTGCTTAACTGCAAAACCTCCAACAAAGGCATACTGAGACATAACTTATTTCCAAAAAATAAAATTACAATTAAGTGAAATGAAAGTCTTTTCTCTTGTCTTAATTCTGAAAGGATTGAGTACAAGAAGTGACTTTATTCTTCAGCCTTCTAATCGTAGGGTTTCCTGTAAGCCGTGAGCTTGCCCTTGTCCAAGTTTAAATTGTTCTTCAGTGTCTCTGGTGTTTCGGCCATGTATGTGTGATCCATCCACACAAACAGTGTCTGATGACACAGAAATTTGACAGGGTTCATGGCTATATGAAATGCTACATCGTCCACTAGGATGAATCTCTGAGGCCCCACTGCTTTCATGCACTTCAGGAACAACAACAACTCTCAAAATCTCCTCCATAGCTTTAATGTTTCTCAGTATGTCATCCCCATTCCTCGGCCTGGTGTGTTGTGATCATTTCTGCAAGCAGTCAGGGAAGGAAAATATGGCAGCAGTTGTAGGCACACTTGGCCCAGACTATTTGTAAAGAAACAGTTATCTTTAAAATAGACAGAACATAGATGAAAAAAGGGAGTTTTCCACAAGTTCCACTTGTCCCATCTGAGATACACCAACCACTACTGCACCCCACAGATATTATCTAAAGGGAAACGGTGAGAATGAAAGAAAAAATATAAATATGTCAAATATAAAACAAACCCCCCTAGATAATGTTTTTTTAGTTTTTAAAGGAATGGGTTTTCCGGCTATCATTTGTACCCTATATAAATTGTAGCTTTTTTAAATTAAATTGTCAGTTAATGCCAGTAAAGCGATATTATAAAGAAAAGTGAAATCATTCATAGTAAGATAAGATCTACATATATTAAAAAACGATAAAATCTTACACCAGATCCTCGACGACATATGAAGATTCAAGTTCAACAAAGTAACAAACAAAAATATGAAACTCCAGAAAAATAGGTGAGCTGTGTTTACAATCAAAGCCAGTGTTGCCAGCTAATTTCCAGGGGAAGTTGCTAAAGGAAGGTTGATTTGTTGCTAAAAGTTGCTAAATGATGTTGTGATGACATTGCTTGATGACGTCATTACGTAACCACGATGCAAAATTGTGTCAAATCTCAGCAAAAACATATATATATATTTTATATATGTTAATTTAGATTTGTTCGTAGCAATATAAAGGTTACCCTTACTATTAAACAATTGCAAATAGCAGCTAACTTAATTCCTGTAAGGTGTGTACTGCTAGGCATCTTTGGTTTCCTCTTTTTGTGTCATTGAAATGGTAAATTGTGCCTTTTTATCGTTTGAGTCACTTATCAAAAGTTGCTAAAACCTGCCAAATACGTTTTTTAAAAATAGCTACATTTGTTGCTAGGTGCTTTTGGAAGAAAACGTTGCTAGGGTAGTCTGAAAAGTTGCTAAATTTAGCAACAAAATTGCTAAGTTGGCAACACTGATCAAAGCTTGATCGAGGCAGTCACAGCACTGTTTGTTCTGGCGTTTGGCAAACCAACTTATGGTGCATTTCCACCAACTACTGGACTGGAGTCTGGGGAGCATAAGGCTGGTTGGATGTGGTTAAACGCAAACAAACACCATAAGAGAATCAAACGTCATTTATACGACTACGCTCTACCAAAAGTCATCTATACGCCACAACATTACTTTACGTGAGGAGCATACTAAAGTGTAGTTCGTTAACAACACACTGTTAAAACCTTCACGTGACTCTCCTGCCGTTGTTTTATGCAACAACGTCATTTAGTGATGAATATCCTGCATTGCAGCCCCTGAGCGTGTTCTTTTCCAATTTATATACAGGTGCATCTCAATAAATTAGAATGTCGTGGAAAAGTTAATTTATTTCAGTAATTCAACTCAAATTGTGAAACTAGTGTATTAAATAAATTCAATGCACACAGACTGAAGTAGGTTAAGTCTTTGGTTCTTTTAATTGTGATGATTTTGGCTCACATTTAACAAAAACCCACCAATTCACTATCTCAACAAATTAGAATATGGTGACATGCCAATCAGCTAATCAACTCAAAACACCTGCAAAGGTTTCCTGAGCCTTCAAAATGGTCTCTCAGTTTGGTTCACTAGGCTACACAATCATGGGGAAGACTGCTGATCTGACAGTTGTCCAGAAGACAATCATTGACACCCTTCACAAGGAGGGTAAGCCACAAACATTCATTGCCAAAGAAGATGACTGTTCACAGAGTGCTGTATCCAAGCATGTTAACAGAAAGTTGAGATGAAGTATTCTAATTTAGATAGTGAATTGGTGGGTTTTTGTTAAATGTGAGCCAAAATCCTCACAATTAAAAGAACCAAAGACTTAAACTACTTCAGTCTGTGTGCATTGCATTTATTTAATACACAAGTTTCACAATTACTGAAATAAATAAGACATTCTAATTTATTGAGATGCACCTGTATTTATGAAGACAAGATTGGACTTTGACTGCCGAGTCTGAAGAGTTTGACTTTCAACATATGGCGTTTATACAGATGTCTCATTAATATTCAACGGAATTCTGTTTTGTAAACCATTTCAAGAAGACATTTTCTATCAGGTCAAAGTTTTAACAACATTTACATTTCTGAAAGCATCATAAATGGTATCTAGATGTCTCAGATTAAGAGAAAATGGCAGAGAATTGCAGATTATTTTATGAAGTTTGGCCAATTTTGTCTATACCATGAACTAAAATGGGTCACGATTATAACTTTCAAGCAGTGGTGTATAAAGTACCTGAAAGCCATACTCCAGTAAAAGTACAGATATCTTACCAGAAAATGACTTGAAGTTGAAGTAACCGTTTATAATATTACTTGAGTAAAAATCTTAACGTATGTGATATTTATTGTACTTAAGTACGAAAAGTATTTTTTAAATCTTAAACGTACTTAAGTATTGAAAGTAAAAGTACAAGTAAATGCAAAATGAAAAGAAGCAAAAAATATATATATAAAAAAATGTTCATACACCGCTCGAGTAGCAAGATTGTGTTCAGTTTTAACTCTTTCTTCCATTTTGTACTTTTGGGTAAGAATAAGAAGCACTTCTTCCAGTACTTAGTGTCTTTCATTCCAACCTAAGAAAACATTTCTGGAATCTGCATCTGAAATAGCATTTAGATGTATTTACACAGTTCATGTATCTCAGAGGGTACATGGGTGCATTTAAACTGCAGTTACAGATGCATGAATAATGTTTTGTTTTTAATGTAAAATGTTGAATACTGTTATTTGAAAAGATTTTAAAACATAAAAAATAGTCGAAATGTGAAATTAAAACCGCCAGTAGGTGGCAGCAAGTGACTGTCAATGAGAGAGTCATTGAGATTCAACCGATTCGTTCAAACGGCTGATTCATTCAGGAACAAAGAGTTAATGAGTGAATCACTGAATCATTTATTCAACCGATTCCTTCAAAAAGCTGATTCATTCAATAAGTAAACACCGTCCATTGCTCAGAGACAAAACAGTGCTGTGATCTTTGTTTGGAACTATTTTCTTTGGCAAAATTGAGCAAAAACAAGCAATATTATGTCTAAAATGTAAGTCACTTATTGCTAACTTTACTGAACTTGTATGAAATGATTATTACATTTGTTATCATGCTGATATCTGCAGAAAAATGGCGCTCTTTGTGTGATATAGATAAAGTTAACTATATTAAATTATATAAATATAAAATGCATACAGAAGCATTTTTGCCGTCTACAATTTAGAATGCCTTGAATTTTGAGTTTTAATAGAATAATAAATCAACGTGCGTGCACTCTGTGTGTGTGATTTGGCGATAGATAATGTCAGATCGCACATCACAACACTTACCATATTATCGCAGAAGATATACTGTATACATGAGCAAAGGTGTTATTAGGAGTCTAACTTGCAAACGCCAGACCACTGATTCGTCAAACCTGCTTTCCTGCAGTCCGTGTTCTTCTGACTTCTGACTATTTTGTAGCGAGTAACGAATATGCTTCGGGGAAATGTATCGGAGTAAAAGTATACATTTTAATTAGGAAATGTAGTGGAGTAAAAGTAAAAGTTGGCTGAAATATAAAAACTCAAGTAAAGTACAGATACTCCCAAAACATACTTACGTACTGTAACAAAGTATTATTACTTCGTTACATTACACCACTGCTTTCAAGACATATTTCAATATGTTCATGGGCCTCTTCTTTTAATTGTGCAGATAATGTTAAAAGAATTAAAGCTGAAGCTTGGACATATTATATTTACATAGTATGAATCCATTAATGTGTACAAAGACACTCTTCTTGTTATTAAACGATATATAAAATTATTGTTATATATATATTTATATAGTCTATAATTTATATATATATTTTTTTACTGTAAATCAAGTCTCCGAAGACACTTAAATTGACTCTCCTATGGACAATTTTAACGCTACCAAAAACATCTTGTCATGCACGTTCACCTTAGGAACAAGGAGCCCTGGGGGTCACGAGGGTCATCTTGAAAAACCTTCAGACAAACAACTCCAGACTTCAGTGATGACATCAATTCCTGGATGGCAGCACGGCTCTAATTCCACTTCCACGCCGGATTTCTAAAACAGGGAAGGGGGAGGCTGGCAAATAGACAACAACACCGGATTGAGGAAATTGACGAGGGCATACTATGTGCAAAACAAACGTGCTTAAAGCTGACAGCCATGCAGCCCGAGCTGTTTCATTCACTATCGCATCTGAGAAGAGGACAGCTCCTCCCTAGTACACTAGACCCGAGGACAGCATCCAGCGCGGTGTTCGCTAGCACTTCAAGTCATGCGTTTGTACGCGATCCCGGTGTTGTTGCTGATGGTGCTCGGAGATGCTGACGCGTGGGGTCCCGCTGGTAAATACGCCGTCAACTGTCCGGGCAAATGCAACCCCGCGCTGTGCGGCTCGACGCAGCGCTGCAGGCGCACGGTGCTGGATGACTGCGGATGCTGCCAGGTCTGCGCTGCGGGACGGGGAGAGCACTGCTACCGCACCGTGTCCGGGATGCACGGCGTCAAGTGCGGACCGGGACTCTTCTGCGACTTCTACAAGGATGAGGATGATTATGGAGATGAATATGGCATCTGTAAAGGTACGCGCTGATGTGTGCACCTGCTCAGGCATGGGATTGTGGGGGGATTGGCATATATTCAAAGGATTGAGAACTTGAAATAAATTAGAAATAGTGACATAGAAAAACATTGAATTATTTATTTAGATTTTTTTTATTACTAAAGAGACGAATTTCTTTATTTCTTTATATTTCAATTACAAGTCTTCTCAATAATTATGTGTGTGTGTGTGTATATATATATATATATATATGTATATACACACACACATAATTATATCTTTATTAAAAGAAAAATTCCAAATGTATTTGTATTAATGGATTTCTAAATATAAAATGTTTAGAATTATATCAAATATCATTTTAATTATATTCTATTATTATATAAAATATAATTTTAATATAATGTAAATTGAATACAATATTTAATATATATAATATAATTATACATTTAAAAGTATAGCTTTCCACTGAAGTTTAATAAGACATATACATGTATCTTGGAAATCAAACCTTTTAATATTCTGTCTCCTATCATCAATATAGTCTTTATCAATTTTCACACACAAAAAAAAAGGATTTCAAAACATTTTGTGTAGAAGAAAATGTGTATGCAAGAAAACAAAAATAACAAAGATTTTACATCTGTGATGCCCTATACAAATAAATAATTTTGTATAGCCTATTTCAAATTCAGGGGAAAAAAACTGTTAAGTGAAATAATTATTTTAACTATGATCATAATATATGCATTTCTTATATATATAGTCTCTGTATACATGTTAAAGAATGTCCTGACAAATTCACACCTGTTCAAGGCAGATTAATTGTATTTTTTATTTTTTTTGGAGGATGTTCAATTTTTTTTCAAAATCCTCAAGATTAGCTGAAGGTTACAGGTTAAAGAACAGTTCGGCCTACAAAAGAAAACTCGCCTCCAAGCCTCTTTTCTGTGGAGTCCTTCTAGGGCCCCTAAATTATTACTTAAACTATTATGTAAGAACAACGTGAGTTGGTGAATGAACACTCATTGCTTTGTACTAGGGGAACACACACCTTCCACACCAATTACTCGCACTCAGTCTTTTAATTAAGTCTTAACCAGAGTCTTAGACATAAGTGAGCCTTCTGATCCTTTTCCACAAATACTGGATCAGCAATGAGCAAATATCCTCAAAAAGAGTCTTTGTTAATGACAAGTCTTAAAGTACTAATAGTAGATAGTCATACAGATCCTGTAATGGTTCAATTAGCTGTAACATGTTTGTGTTTCTCTTATCAGACTGCATGTATGGAACTTATGGCATGGAATGTCGGAAAACATGCAACTGTAAAGCAGGTGGATTGTGCGACAGGGAAACGGGTGCTTGTCTGTCCTTTAAATTCTTGGCTAAAATGGCAATGCTGAAATCTCATTCAAGTGAAGGTGAGTTTACTGTTTACACAAAATAATTGATTTCTGAATAAAAAGTGTACAAATATATTTAAAGAGTGTCCTTTGATATAAAGTGACAGTATGCAGAATATTATTATTATTTCATTGTTTTTTTTATTATTATTGTATGACAGGTAATGAAGTGGGCTCAGGCGACGGCAACACTGAAACCAGCAGCAACCGGTCTTCCACTCGCAATTTTCTCACCCCTCGCTGACAGCAACTCTCAATCTTCTGTTTAGTCAGTGTACATGTAGCATAATAAATTAAAGGACCAAACAGATATATTTTAATATGTTTAAAAGGGTCAAAGAAAAAGATATGCTTTTATTCTGTATATTTTACAGATGTGTATGCCACTTGTGTCTTTGTTCCAATGCATGTCTACATGCATTCACATGCACACAAATAAACATGCAAGTATCCAGAGTTTGATATCACAATAAGAATGTTCCCACAGGGCTAATTATGTTGAAATACATAACTGAGATGTCAAAATTGTGGTTGAACTGAATGAACACACACAAACACTTTTACATTATGAATGTATTGCAATTATATCATATTTAACGAAATACATACTCTAAGATGATATACCAGACTCAGTTCCAATTCTGTAATGCTTAACAGTGATGTTTTAATATGTGGTATATTAAGACCAAGGAGATTATTATAAATTATGGACTGTATATCCTTCTAATCTGTGTGTAAATTATTCTCTGTGAATCTTCGCTTTAAAACCCTCTTGATAGAGATGATATGATTTCTTCTTATTCTGCTTAATGTATGAGATTTAAATTAAAACAATGGAATTCGACGAGAAAAAATACACAGTTGTTGTTTTTTTTGCCATTTTTTATTTAGTCACTTTTTTTTATGTGGAATCTGTTTAAAACATTTTAAAAGTGGGGAAAACGTGCAACTTATGTGAACTAATGTTCTTTTTTAAATATTTAAGTCAACTGTTACGAGTTTTATTTATTGCCTCATGATATAGGAGAGACAATGCGGCAAAATGTCATACTTTTAACTTCACTGAATATTTTTGAAAGCCAATATATTTATAAGCACATATTAAAGTCTTGAATACAAAAAATATTCTGAACATTACCACAGTTATTGTCCAGGAGGAACATTCATATACTAAATATAAATTATATACTGAATTGAGGCAATTTAATGGATTTTTAGCTAACATTAAACGGGGTGGGGGGGAATTGTGTAAATTGAATTCACCAAGAAAAACGTAGTTGCTCAAATACAGACCTTGTGACAACTTCCCCGTGTGACAACTAGCCCCAAATACAAATACGTAGGCCTTCTGCTTAATACAATTAGAAATATTTCAACTTGTACAAAACCAAAAACAATTATTTTACACCCTTAAAAATAAAATATGAACTTTGAAAATGTATTTAATGTTCATGCAGACCTCTTTTCCAGAGGTTTCTGTATGAAAACACCCAATCATCCTGCAGTACAGCAGATGGGTGTAGATGCAGGTACATTTGGTGTCCGAAGTCTGCTTTCTGCTTTTTTTCAAATGGTTATATTTTTAATTATTTTAATAATTTGCTACTTGTTTTGAATTACAAGATGTTACAGTCAATAGCAATATTATAATTTGTGTTAAAAGTGTATTAAATAGCTCAAAGTCATGATTTCTTGTTGTCCGAATGAGTCAGTGCATTTTTTCCATCACGTATCATTGTGTAATCAAAATATTTTATTGTACTTTTCTTTTTGTAACATTTCATTAATTTTATTTCTAAAAGCCCTAAATACTAATTTACTTAATTCTACAACATTAAATTGTTTAAAATTAAATTTTTGCTTATAAAAATGTGTGTCCATAATTCTTGCGTCAACTCTGTTACCGTACCATATTTTGCCTTTAAATTGGTGGAATTATCTCCCACAACTATGTAAGATACAGGAAATGATGACACTTTCCCTCACTGATAAGATCTGAAGCACTGAAAAGTCTGTGTGCTCTCTCTGAGAAATTATTTTAATCTAAAACGTCCTTATACCAAGAGTTATTTTGAAGAACGTCAACGCTGTTACCACAATATCAAAAGGAAAACAAAATGTATTACTGATCACAAATTGGGTTATTTAAATGTATTTTAATCACGATTTCATTAGTGCCATGTGCTCTTAGCATTTATGCTAGCAAGTGGAGCTTTTGGCAAAAATAAGATAAAATGGTCAATTCTGTTACTGTCAAACTCTGTTACCAAGGTAGAGTAACAATGCTGACAATAGTGTAACAGAATTGACAGTCCACCGGATAATTCTGTCAATTCTGTTACTTTACAATTCTGTTACTTAAAGGGTCAACTCTGTCTATGAACTATTTTCACAAAAATCTATACAATTGTTGTTTAAGATCTCATAAACATTATTGAGATATGATACACCCTTATAATATTTCAACAACATTTCTCTCTTTACTATGTAAGATACAGGAAATGATGACACTTTCCCTCACTGATAAGATCTGAAGCACTGAAAAGTCTGTGTGCTCTCTCTGAGAAATTATTTTAATCTAAAACGTCCTTATACCAAGAGTTATTTTGAAGAACGTCAACGCTGTTACCACAATATCAAAAGGAAAACAAAATGTATTACTGATCACAAATTGGGTTATTTAAATGTATTTTAATCACGATTTCATTAGTGCCATGTGCTCTTAGCATTTATGCTAGCAAGTGGAGCTTTTGGCAAAAATAAGATAAAATGGTCAATTCTGTTACTGTCAAACTCTGTTACCAAGGTAGAGTAACAATGCTGACAATAGTGTAACAGAATTGACAGTCCACCGGATAATTCTGTCAATTCTGTTACTTTACAATTCTGTTACTTAAAGGGTCAACTCTGTCTATGAACTATTTTCACAAAAATCTATACAATTGTTGTTTAAGATCTCATAAACATTATTGAGATATGATACACCCTTATAATATTTCAACAACATTTCTCTTTTTTTTTTTTTTACTGGATATTGTATACAATACATTTTCATATGGAAAATATGAAGTGGACGGTTCTGTGAAGACATGGGCATTTTTTACATTTTTAAGCTAGGCATAGGTGAAATATTATCTCAGTTCCAAATGTTGGAATGTAAGGACTGTTTGTCTAATGATACAAGAAGGATTTTTCCTTTTATGATTTATTATTGTTATTTCTACACATTGCCTAATTTGTGCGTAACAGAGTTGACAAACAATACCATAAAGACAAAAAAAAAAGGAAGTAACTTGTGTTTGGTAAGCACTGAATTATTGAAATTGAACATGTTTTCAATAAGATAATGGAAAGAATTTCTGTTAGTGAAGTTTTTTTTTCTTAACTTTATGAAATTCCAAATGTATCTCCAATTATAGAATCACCCAGATGCTCTTCAACGCGAGCTCTGAAAATACCCACCGCGAACTATTAATAACCGTCAGATCCCTCACCTCGCCGAGTTCTCATATGAGGCTGTTTCCCAGCATCCCACTTGTTTATTTCCTGTGTTTCCTGACACCTGTGAAAATGGTCTTACTTCCTGTTGTTGTTGTGTCTGCCTCTGGGACAGGATTCAAAAACGGCTGGAATTTATCAACTGACACACGTCACCACAGGACAGGACGCGAAAAGAGGAATGTCTCGCTTCCGTCACCACAGCAGGTTAACAAAATGTCTTCCCTGCGGTAAACTTCACGTCACTGGAACATAAACACGTTTATTGACACGTTTCTGAATGAACTGAACTGCAGTTTTGTGGTTGTTTGATTAAAAGTGTACATAGTGTTCATAAATACTTACTCCATGATGAATCCAACATTTGGGTCATGCAAGGAAATAAAACAGCATGCACATTCAAGTCATTTCCATCTAGGTTTTTATGGTCAAAAAAGTCAGTTGCTCACCTTCCTGCCGAAGATTATTTTTAGAGACCTATTCGGGAGCTTTTCTTGAGGATTTTCCTGCATTGTTTCCTCAACAGACACAGCAATTCTTTCCTCTATAAGCCACAATGAGCTTTAGTATGAGACACCTTTGACTTCATGGCAAGGCCTTTGACTCTCATTAAAGCATGCACAAATACACACATATGCATAATGATTTTTATACTATACAAACTGTATTTTCTATCCCCTTACCCTAAACCTACTCACACAAAACTTTCTGCTATTTTAGATTTTCAAAAACGTCATTCTGTGTGATTTATAAGCTTGTTTCCTCATGGAGACCAAAACCAATGTCTCCAAAAGGTTAACATTTACTGGTATTACTATCCTTGTGGGGACATTTGGTCCCCATAACGTAGAGAACGCCAAGTACACACACACACACAATTAATAAACAGTACAGTATTTGCTCTTTGCATCTTTAACTGTCAAGATTTAGAGCAGATCTAACAAAACTAAACCAGGATATTCAATAAAATTCGACTGAATATACATCACTTTTATTATATAAAAAC